GCTATATTTTTTAGCTTGCAGTTCCTTAAATTCTTGCTTTATTAGTTGATAACACATGAAACCATCAAATAAACAACGGGTTCAAATTTGAAGTGCGTGGATTACGTAGACTGCAGTGAGAAGTTCAGTTATAAGGAATTCCTGTGTGGACCAAAAATAGCTCACAAAGGAAGAGGATTTCAGCACCAGAAGAATTTTCCAGCATGGAAAATCTATTTTCCATGACTTTATCCAATGAAATATTAAGGGTTTCAATTGATGAGATTTTCAATACTTCATTTATGAAAGTATCACAGAACTTGATCGATTTTCGTGTACTTTTGGAGGGCTAAAGGCAGAAGGTAAAGACAACACAGCATATCATTCAATTCAACCTTTGTACGTTTTTTACAGAATGAAAATTATTAGGAAGATAGCCTTTCCTATGAGAACCCTTACTGCCATGCTCTTTCAATGTAGAAAAAATCTGAAATAATGTAATTTAGAGTATCTTTGAGCATACAGTTGTATTGAGATCACTTAAATTAAGAGTATGCTGTCTTGTTTTTTAGCATTGTGGGGTGGCATCTGGTATCAGTTTAACAACTGGGGTTTGCTTTAGCACAGAATTGGAATAGGCAGAGCACATGTACTATTAAGGTGATTAATTATGCTTTTCTTATTTTCTGAATATTTTTCAGCAAAATATTTATTTTCTTCAGGGACCTTCTGTGCATTCCAACTCATGGATCAAGGCATTTGTACTTAGTGGCCTTTGAAGTTTCTAGAATGCCGTTTCCCTTGTTGAGTTCTCCAAGATTTTCATCTTTTTATTGTTACTTTATACCTGAATTCTTCAAAGTCTTGCATTAAGAAATATCATGTTCCCCGTGTGGAAGATGATGGGCAGAGGAAACTTCTCTTTGTGGACTTTACACGCTCTGTGTTTAGACCCACCATAGATTATTACTCTTCAGAGTATTTAATTGATTAGTGCAGTTTACATTTGGACTTAAGAAATGGAAACATGTTCATAATTATTTCAGAGAATTAGGTCACATGCAGGTGATGCTCATTTTTAGAGGAGTAAACAAAGATTTATCAATGTTCAGATGGTGGAACAGATTCTTCATAGGAAGAACAGAAAGGTTCTGCTAGGAATAGCATCAAGAAGTTATTTATGCTTGTTTTATGTCTGTTTTAGTTTGTCATAACTCTTGCTGCTGCTTAATGAACTGCAAGGAACTTGGTATCTTGCAGGATGGACCTCAAAGTCTGTAGAGCAGGGCAAGAAGGGGAAACATGGGAAGGTGATACATTTAGATTACTTAAAATCACTGAATTCACCCCGAGGTGTGAACGAAGGCTCATGTCAGATGCTTACAGCTGAGCTTGCAAAAGCTTGAGGAGGAGAAATCAGAGTGCACAGGGAATCGTTAGAGCAGGAGGGATGGGCCAGTTGAAAGCTTTTGCTTCAAGGGCAGTCATCCAGCAGAGTGAGGTGGTGTGCATTTGTTACTGACCACCCAAACAAGAAGCAGTGCTGGATGAACTGGAAGAAGTCTTCCAATTGCAGGTTAGATTATTTCTGGAGTACTTTATGGACATTTTTAGTGTACAGGTGCTGGATGGCTTGACTTGGTACGTACTGTGTGGGATCTGCTGCTTGAAAATAAGGAAGATCCAATTGGAGAGGTGAAGTTTGATGGCAGCCTTGGCTGCAGTCGTCCTGAGATGATGGAGTTCGATATCCCAAGGGAAGTGAGGAGGGCAAGTAGCAGGATAATGATCCTGGACTTTAGTAGAGGAGACCTTGGCAAGCTGGAGGGCAGATTTGCACAGGAGGCTGCCCTTGGTCCCAGGAGAATTGATGGGCCTCAAGGAGCAACCTCAAAGCCTGAGAGTTACAGCAGTCAACAAAATTCATCTGAGTCTTCAAGCAAGGCCTATCCTGAGGTGATGTAGCAAACTGCAGCCAGGTAAATTCCAGTTAGATACTAGGAAAATTCCTTTTCACAATGAGGGTGCTCAAATACTGGAACACGTTGTCCAAAAGTGCTGTAAAATTGGTGTCTTGGAAGATGTTAAAAAACTCTGAACAAGGCCTTGAACAACCTGATGCAATTTCAGTATTTTCCATACTTTGAGCACAGGGTTGGATGGTGACTCTGGAATTGCCTTTCAATATAAATTATTCTGTGATTTGTGCAGCCAGGCAGAGGGCTGGGTCAGTGAATGACTGTTGAAAACTAAACTCCTTTTCCTTCCCCTATCTCCTGCTCTCCACAGGTTCTGTTGCAGCCAAGAAATTTTCTAATGTACTGTGAGGGAATTGCTATTTCAGTGAAATGAGACTATAACATTTTGGGATCATTTTACTGAAAATATTCTAAGCCTGGCCCTAACAACCTTTAAAAAAATGAGACTTCCAGTGCCACCTTGAATATCATGCTCCATTTTTAACTTTTCTAATCGGTAGACTTTTTTTTTTTCTTACTTCAGCCTTAATATCTGTGATGTATAGGAAGCCTGTCCTATTTGCAGTGTTTCCTTACATTTTTAAAATTGTATTGTGTACCCCCTCCTCAGTTTTTTCTTTTCTATATTTAAGCCTAATTGCCTAAAATTTCTTTCAAAACACATTTTCTTGCAGTCGTATTGCTGATGTTGTTCTGCAGTACAGCTCTATTTTTCTCAATATGTGAGGTCCAAATGTGGAAGCAATACTGCAGGTGAGGTTTCTCACAGAATAAAAACTTCCCAGGTTTCAGATATGTTTTGCTCTGAGAACTGTTCTTTAATACTTTTGCAACTGTCTCATGTCTGATTGATTTTTTTTTATTGCACGTAGTTCAACATAACTGACTGAATTCCCAAATATCAGTTTATAGATTGTTGATTCTTTCTGGGGTGATACTTGGGACTTTTCTTCATTGAATTTCATCTAAATAATCTTCATAAGTTCCACTCATTTGTTAGCTTTTGGAACGCTGACATCTTTTCCAAATACATAAAAATTATGAATGTTTTTGTATTTCATCATCTAAGTAGCCAGTCAGGGTTTTGAAATTAGTATCTCTCAGACAGAACCTTGAACCATCTCATTTGCTTGACAGCAAATCACTAATTTGCTGTTATTGAAATTCATTTTTCTGTGTCTGTTCCGCTTTTGATGACTTCATCTTGATCATAATTATGAATTTTCGGTTATGAGAATATTATGTGTTGTGGAACTTTTGTACATCATTGAAGGTTTCCTTACATTTCCATGCAGCTTCTTAGCAACACCAGTTGTTTGCAGAAAAGTAACTATCATTTAAGACCCTAAATAACTGTATATAATTAGTTTTAATAATAAAGTACCACAATGATAATCAAACGGAAAGCTTAAAATATGATTAGGGCTACTGCTGTAAGTAAATTGTGATCGTTAACAATGTAAATTTATTTTCATTAATGTAATCCCTTTTTATGAACATTTGCTAATTTTTTTATCATTATGTGCATTCTTCCACCTGGATTTATTTACAAAGGACATATATATTGAAAATAAATTTTTTTAAGATGCAAAATATGGAACGCTGTAGGGACAAAAAACATGAGTAACTTCCAGATATAAACCATTTTTTAAAATGTGCTGTCTTTTTAAGCAGGAGGTTTTAGATAACATGCTGTGTTCTAATTGTGGATACCCAGCTACACATTAGACAATCCAGAGAGTATAAAAGACCAAAGTTTTCCATGGGGAAATAACTAGTTCATTTGACTGTTGTTTAGGTTTTTGGTATGAAACAGTTTATATCATATTCAGTCTGTTGCTACAGAACCATGAAGCAAGGGTGTCGACTGTGAAAAATTAGGTTTTCAATTTTATTTCTTTTTAAAACAGCATCTGGTGATTGTGTGTTCTCTGGCTCTGAGGCCTATTTGACTGTTAAATACGAACAATTGCACTGAAAACTGGAAGTCAATTGTTTCAATCCTGGCTGATGCACGTGTTGTTAATAACAAAGATTTGACAGTAGGAAATGAGGCCAGGGACAACAATCTGACTCCTACAGAAGAACAGGTTTGTGATCACAGTGAGATTTCAGCAAAATGTGTGGAGGTTTAGTTAAGTAGAGAGATCCTGCAAGGTCAAACTTAGGCTTGGCAGCCTGTGCTTCTGTTTATCTGTACAGTCTTTTTCATTGAATTTTAAATCCTGGATCTTACACTTGTGTCTTTTATCAGCTTTGACTTTGAGCTAAGATTGAAAGGGTATACTGGCAACCCCTGTTCCAACTGCTTTGCTTTCATTGACTTCTACAGAGTTATCTTAGAAAATACACAAACTCTTGAGTTAAGCTTTTGTCTCTTGTTCCTTTGACATTTTGTTACTGCATATTTTGGTTGCTTTTCATCTCCAAGGTAATGAGTTTGTTGCAATGTTCAGTTTTGTGTTTCTCATATAATGAGCAATTTTATGTAATTGTCTGATAATATAGTCAGGAGACAAAGATCAGTGGTACAGAATTCCAGATCCCCCTGTAGGTCCATGTGAACACATAATTTGTTTTAACAAGTCAACTTCTTTGATTGCATCTCAACCTTGCCTTTCTCTCCTTTGCCACCAAATTCCCTTATGCTGTTTCATTCAATGATCCCATTAGACAAATGCAGTTTATTTCCTGAATATGTGTGTGGTCTAACCAGCCTTACAGAATCACAGAGCCACAGAATGCTCAGGTTGGAAGGGACCACAGTGGGTCATTTGGTCCAACCTCTCTGCTCAGGCAGAGTCATCCCAGAGCACATGGCACGGGATTGTGTCTGGACAGTTCTGGAATATCTCCAATGAGGGAGGCTCCACACTCTCTCTGGGCAATGTGTTCCGATGCTGGGTCACTGCACAGGAAGGAAGTTCTTCTCATGTTCAGGAGCTTCCTGATTATCAGTTTCTGCCCGTGGCTTCTTGTCCCATTGCCGGACACCTTTGAGCAGAGCCTGGTCCATCCTCTGCCTCCTCCTGCAGAGGATGTAGCCTCACCTCCTCTGGTTTTACCTTTCAGAGTGAATGTTCTACATGTGAATACCTGGATCTGCTTTGACTGCACTTACCAATGATAAAGTATGGAGAATCACCTATTTTATAGTAATTCTATAGTGGTATCTGAGACATAAAGCTTTCCACGGAGCTTTAAGGAGTAAAAATCAGTAATATTCCAGGCCCCACTGTGAGTCAGTTGTAAGTAAATTACAGTGAAGTTAGTTTAATGTTACAGTTAATGGCAGCCACTGTTTTTAAAGCGTCTTTTAAATACTGCCTTTTTATTAGTGTTTTCTCTAACTTATGTTCCTTACATTAAAGATATGATAACAGAATTATTTATCTGCTGTTTCTGTGAAGTAATCCAAATTATGTATTCTCTGTCCTCTAGTTTGTTTTATGGAAATTACTCAGTTGTGTTTGTGTTCTGAGTCTTATTTTTCAGCAGCAATGTTCTTCTAAGGTGATATTCTGCTGCCTTCATTTTTCCATATAGATGCTTTTCTTTAATGGTGTTTACAGCTTTTTAGACTCTTAGGGGTTTGTGAATTCTTTATTTGTGGTCTTTTTAGGGAAAAAAAGAAGTGCTATTTATGACACTTTTCAGGGCATAATGAGAATATTTTGAAAAATAATGGCAAGAATCTTGTATGGTGTATTGATTTTCCTCTTCTGTCATCTCCTTGAGCTCTTGAGTCTCAATCACTAATGGATAGATCTATTTTTGTTCTGAGGTTTCAAGACTTTTCTTTTAAATCTTATGTAGAGCCTGTGAAATAATGTCCTGTGATAGAAATTAGTTATCTGCAGTACTTGTTAATTTTCTTTTAAATGACATAGATGAGTACATACTCTAGCAGTCAGATGATGTTCCTCTCTTTCCAGAGTTTTGCAAAAAATGGCTGGTCACATTTAGAAGCTGTTTATAAAAGCTCAGATATTCTTTCATGTTTTGCTGTATTTTTGATGAACGTGGTTACAGGCTTTTGGAGTTGTTGATGTAAATCTTGATGAATCTCGCTGGGAGCTTGTCCTTTAATTGTGGTGGGACTCCACCTATGGGTGTTTCATTTGAAGATTGTGAAGTTGGAAAAGGAGTGTTTTCAAGGCTCCAAGGGGAACCTGCCTCTCCCTTGAATATCTTTCTGTATGATGCTCCCATTTTGTGCAATCATGAGCTGAGCTGTGAAGATGATGCAGGTTTTGCCAATGTAAGTACAGTTCTGGTGTAAGAACACAGACTAGAAGCTCATGTGCATCCATGAAGGAGCCATCCTTGCTCCACCTCCACTTCTTCTTCTCACCCTCACCAGGAGAGGGGCTTCTCATGGTACAAAATCACACCAAAGTCAGGGAGTGCAGCCTTGGCTGAATACGAGGTGGTGCTGACACCTGCATCAAAGTGCTTCAAAGCCCTTTGAGTTCAGTGCCTTCCTGAATCCAGGGAATTAGAACCAAGGAATCCAGTGCTCTTCCTGTTACAAATGCATATTGCTGTGATTGACACATCACATGAAGTTACTATTAATTGGTTTAAATGGATAATCCTGTCTCTGTGTTACATTGGATATTGCCTGTGCTTTTATTTTAGTGTTTGTTGTGTTACCTGTTTTGAAGCCCTTTTGAAGGAGATTCTTCTTTTCCCGACATTTTATTTCAGTGCTCCACTGTCCTTAGAGGAACAACAATTTTCTAATTTTTTCCCATTTCAGTCTGAACTTGTTTCTGAGCTCATGCAGGGTAGAAAGGAAAGCTTTCAGGTTATGTGCCTGTGTGGTCCTGGTATGTTTGCCCTCAGTAATGACACTGTCACTGCATTGTCCAACATCCCTGTACCGCCACAGAACTGGCACCAAGCCAGCATTAAATGCTGTCCTAGCAGACATTTGTTCTGTTTTGTGTTGCCCTATTCAATTTTAACCTTTTTGTTTTCAGATTGTTCCTAATTTATCATCTTGAATTCTCATCCTGCACCACAAACTTACAGGTTTTGCATTTTTACGGCTTCCAGACTCTTTTACCCTTGTGTTTTCTTATGGTTCAGGTGTATTTTACCTTTGCTTTAACACTCCTCCGTGGAATTAAATACCTATATTCTGAAGTTATCAACTGCTGTAATTTTTATTGTTGGTCAGTTCATGTGTTAGTTAACCATATCCAACATTAACCTTTAAAGAATCTCTTGCTTGCAGTTTTGGTTTCCAATAGTAAAAGTTGTACATATTACATGCCATTTTTCTTTCTGAAACAAAATTTTCCTTAATTCCAATTTACCCTTCCTTGAAGCGTGAAGGGGAAGCAAGTGTGGAAGGAGTTCTTAATCAGTTGGTCCTGGAGCATCTACAGTTGGCTCCTCTCCAGTGGGGTGAGTAGTGTCAAAATCAATTGATGATCTTTTTGGAGGGTGTACTGGCTTGTAATTTTTAGCAGCACGAGAATGATAATGTTTTCATTTACTGACAATCTATGATACAGAAGAATTTGATAGGAATTTTACTTTCCTTTAGATATTTTACTTAGCTGAAGATAAACGTAGAATTGGTATCTATTTTATTTTAAGTGCCACTGTTCAGTGATAGTAAATATGAAACCTGACCGTGCACTTTTTCCTGTAATTTGCAGTCCTAGTTGTCATGTACGAGAGGTGGCTGATACGTAAATTTTGCATTTGCCTGGCAGTGTGCTTAAAACCTGTGTGGTTTTAAAACAATTTCTCTACATTTTTTTTAGTGAAATGGTAATGTACTTTGTGTTATGTGTTTTATTATGATCTAGACATTTGCATTACTAACTTTTTAGGTACAGAAAAAGTTGTTACTCTAGGTAGTGTGGAAGAACTATTTATCTTAATTTTGTATTTAGAATGATGTTCTGACAATGAAAAATTGAAGAATCATAATGATGTGACTACTCTCTGAGGTTCTCAGCAAGGCTTGTTAAGAGGCTTTGGAACATGGAATGTTTCATCCCCAACAATTCTATGTCAGTTACAAGTTTCAGAGAAAGTCCTCAGGTCATCAGAAATTGTTTCCAAAGCTTTTGCTTTTAAAGCATATTTAACTCTATGCTTCGTATTTTAATACTTTGATGACCTAGAAAGGATCATTTTTAAGGAACAGTGATCCATCACTTTTGTATGTGCTACTCCATCATCATGGCCAGTCTTCGCGAGCGAAGATTTGGGAAAGGTCATTAACCCTTTGAGCCTGCGCAGTGGATTTTTTAGGTGAGACACAGCGTGCGCTGAACTGAGCCCACCCTTTAATCCTGAGGTTCATCTGCCAGGGCCGAGCGAGCTCGGATGGTGGCAGTGAGGTCCTCAGGACATAGGTTTGTTTCGAGTGACCTTCTCTTAGATGGATGGCCTTACAGGGCTGACGAGCTCCATCTGGCCGGAGGAGTTCCCTGACCGGGAATCAAACCCGGGCCACGGCGGTGAGAGCACCGAATCCTAACCACCAGACCACCAGGGGGCCCTATGTGTTACTACTAAAACTAAAACGACCCCAAACTCCAGGATTTGTGTGCCCCTTGAAGTGCCTGGGTTTTTTTCAACCATAGGGACTATCCTCAACTCATATATTAAAACCTGTGAGTGCTTTGCTTATAGAGGAGAAGATTAAAAATTGTCTAAAGTTGTTTGCTGTAAGTATGTTGATCTTTAACCATAATGAGCTGTCTCTGAAATCACACTTATCTGGCCTCAGTTCTTCAGAGGATTCAAGGATTTGGTAGCATTCGCTCATATTACCTACTGGATTTGGCCATGACTGCCCTGATCCTCAGCAGTGGTTTGTGGCAGGTGTGTGTTGAGAGCTCAGAGAGGTCAGTTCTTAGGTCTGCGGAGTGGCATCAACCATGGACATGTTTGTACCCTGGGCTCTGTGTCTGAAAACTTTCCTTTGGCAATTCCCAATGGGTCATCGCCTTAGGGATGAAAAACGTGGTTTTCTTCTTTCCCTGTATACTTGGTTTTCTTCTTTTTGTTTTATGCCGAATTCCACTATTTTCTTAGTAAAAGAGGCTTTTTGAATCATAGGATTGTACCTGACACTCCTGCCTGAATGGTGACATTCTTTGATGAACTAGCCAACAAACACGAACATAGCACTGCTTTCCAATAAAACCTGATTGCCTGTGGAGCTCGTTATTTCTTAGGCTGTTGATTAATTCTGTTAAAGAGTCCGAGTACTTCAGTTTTCATCCAAAACTCTGCCTCATAACTGCAAAATCTATTGAAGCACAGTCTCTTGACTGGTGGTGTCATACGTGTTGATTTTCTACATTAAATGAAGCAGGGAAAGGGACGTCCTGTGGGTTATCAAATACTTGGTTTGCCACAACTTATATATCATGTTTCCTTATGGACAGTTCAGTGTTGCAGAAGTTTACTTAACTTTTTAGTCTAATTTTTCTTGATCTTAAGTTGCTATTGAACATTATTTTGTATAACATACAAAGTATGTAGAAGCTGTAGCTCACTGCGGGGATTATTGAAAAGGACATTTCGATTAAGTGCCTGATTTTACTTGAAAACAAAAGCAAAAATTGAAAATTAAAGGCGATGGAGAAATTTTAGCTTCTTTAAATTAAGCATAATTTTGAACATTCAGCAGTTCAACCTTTGCTAGTGTTGTAGCCCTACCTGTAGTCCTCCTGGGAAAAGCTACTACTGTACCTCCACACTCTGTGCCATGGCAATATGGCAATGTATGATTTTGGTTTTATTAGTGTGTGGGATGGAGAAGGAATTAAAAGATTGTTATTATTAGTTTGGTAGGTGGGAGTAATAAGGAGTTGTTGGAATGTCTGGACAACCAAGGGTATGTGTGTACACACGTATTTAGACAATGTGACATAACTGTGTTTTGGAGTTTAAATTCTCTTTTGGTGCAGGAATATGTTTCCTTTTCAACTCTTACAGGCATAGAAAAATATTATGAGTTTCAGATGATCTACAATGTAATGTGACTGTTGTTTTCCCTTTGTTTTTTTCCCTTGATATTTTGAAGTGATTGACCTTTAACTGCCTTGTAAGAATCAGCTCTTTTCAGGGTAGTGATCTGAGTACCACTAATGAGATCAGTGTATGCAAGTGATCTTATTCTTTGACTGTTAATATTTCTACTTTGGGAGAACTATTATATAAAAATATTATATAAACATATATATAATTATATATAAATATATAAAATAATATATAAAAATATAAAATTAGTAAGGGAACAGTCTACATATTTTCTTTTGTCATCCTGCCTTGTCCAATATTTTGGGCAGCTGTCACTGATAAGGTACTTTAAAAATACTGTAATACTGTAGTATCAGCCAGATTTTTTTTTTTAGTCATCACACTGTTTGTAGACACAACCTGGCTTTACTTTGAGTTTTATTTTTATGTTAACAATAACTTGTATTTTAGTGTGAACTCTTTACTACTAGCCATCATTGTGGTATAGTCTTTGCATATATTGGCTAAAAATTTGGCTTAGTTTTATGCAATAAAAATTTTTCCATGATTATTCAAGGATTTTACCATATTGATGGCTACACTGAAGGGTTTACTTTGTTATAAGTGCTCACAGTGAAGCATGAATGAATATTTAACATGGTTTTGATTAAAAAAATGACTGGCTCTTATTCAAATTTGTAGAAACTGGACTTCAAAATTCCTTTTAAATTTTGCATATTTAATTCATATAATAGTTAATATTACATCTCTAAAACTACAAAAGCATATTGAAATAATTTTTCATGTAAATTTGACAATCCTGTCCTTTTTTCATTAAATGCAAGGCAAAGAGTAGAAATAAAAGTTGATGACATTGAAATTTTGCTCTGAGGGTAAGAAGTTACCTCTGAAAGTTGTCAGATAGAGGGGAAAAAAGTGACTTGTAGGGAACAATTTTGTTGTGATTTCATATAATTAAATGACTGGGGAAGGGAAAAATATTTAAGACATGAGGAATCAAAACCTAGGAAATATATCAAAGGCTAGAGTGAGAGTTCCTAATGTGTTGTTAAAATTGAATTTAAGATTTAAGACATCTCTGTAAAATGAAGTTGTCTGTTAGGCAGGTTAGTAAATCACATGTAATTGAAAAACATAATCCTGCTGAACACCACCAAGTTCAATGTTCTCTGAAATTTATGACATATTTTCTCTTTACTGCTGGGCAACAAACCAAATGCAGTTACAGATGTGGTTTTAAGGTGAATATATTAATATGATCAAATCAAGGAAACACAGCCTGCAAAGTTTAACGAGGAGAACCAAGACTCTTCAGAGGCGTGTGTCGTGTGAGCTCCGTGGCTTGATTTGAAAAGGATCAGATGGAGGTGTTTGTAGTTGCTGCCTGTGCAATGTTTTTTCAATCTTTATTTGATTTATGTCCCTAAGTTTTGCAAGGAAGCAGAATTCTGGGAGCAAACACTTATCAGTTTGATGGTGCTCTTCTGCTTTTCACAGCAAAATTATCACAGGTACAAAACCATGAACAAAACTTTATAGGCTGAGCTTGAAATAAGACTGTTGATTGAACCTGGAACAGGCCAGACTTGGGATATTCCTACATTCAGATGAGAAGTTCCTCTGAAGCGAGAGGTTCCTGACGCTTTGAATGCTGTAAGCAAATTTCACAAGAGAAACTTATTGTAAATTCCCCTCCATAAAGCAAAACAGACATTACTTCCTTCACTGCCTGCAACCACAAGGCATAGACATGTTTTCCTGATGATCCTCATATGAAGAGTGAAGATTTATTAGAGAAATTTGGTTTAGGAATTTAGAACTGTAGACACTGAAAAGTGCTGGAGGTTTTAATATATCAACCAAATGCTTTTCTTTCTCTATAGAGAAACTGAAAGTAACTGAAAATCAATGATTATACATGAACTCTAGTATTACTAACAATAATGTTCCAAGAAACTTGCATTTGTCAAGCTTCACCATGGAAGAAGTCCAGAAACAGCTTTTTGCTTGCATTCATTCTTTTATTTCATTCACTCATTTCATTAATTCTTCCCTTCTTTCTTCATAAAATTATGAATTTCAAGACAGTTTATAATGTTTAAATAAATCATGGATGCCTTTTCACAATGCAGTGTGTTTTATTTCCTAGTATGTGATTACAAGGAGAACTAAAATCACTGCTGCTGAATTGTGCTCAGATCATAAATAAGAAAAGTGATGGTCAATAGCCAAAGTCTTGATTATTTACTTATGGGTAGAGAATGCTACACATCTTGTTGTGGGTTCACAGTAAAGGGTGTGTCCACCCACATCATGTTGGCATATTGTACTTAGAACTAAAAACCTCAAAAGTGATTGGTGGTTTTAAATTGTCCCTCAAAAGCAGCTGGAATCAA